AAACTTGAGTCTCTTACTTGAAATGGTGCAGAAATACAAAGTCATCAAAGCACTATGGTTCTTGTCTTAAAGTGACAGCTTGCTTTATGGGGCTGTTTTAAATACTCCCCCTGCTTTTCAATGTCTCTCTATCCATCTTTGTCTGCTCTTCAGAAAAGGGGACAATATAAAGCCCAGCCTGGCGAGCTCCCCACGCTCAGGCCTGGGCAGTGCCAACCTCCGCCTTTAAGCAGATTGAAATTGTCACTGCTTCATTAATCTGAAACTAGTTACTTTCCTAAGCACACAGCACACACTTCCGATCTGTCAGGATTCACTCAGGAGCCCCTGGGGCCTTCCTGGGTTTGGGATTTGGAGGGCTCAACAAAGGTACAACAGGGTTCAGGAAAACATAGGACACAGCTGGAAGAAAAGCAATGCCCAGTGACAAAGGGTGTGCATTGACACTGGTATATTTAGGGAGCATAAAACCCTATTTTCAGAGATAATGGGATGCCCAGGATTTTGGAGGATGCACTTGAACATAAGGAGGCTGGCTACAGGAACAGAAAAGAATATCTGTTTCCACATGGAGTACCATTAAGGACTGTGAGGTCTCTCTCACAGCTTTGATTTTTTTCTTTCCTGAGACAGAATAAACTTGTATATAAATTTATTTGGAAGTTAGACTGTTGCTTTTTAGTTTTTTTTTTTTCCATCTGAGTTCTGATTCAACTCTGTTCCTAAGAGATCTATTTAAGGAACTTAAAGCCTGTGTAACTCCAAGTGCCAGGATCTGGGGAGTAGGAGCCCTTGGTCCTCTGGAATTTCTCATCTTCTGTAAGGCAAGCTGCCTCTTTTCTTCCCACCTCCACCATTAACAAAAGACAATACAAAAGATTCTACCTTTCATATTTCCAGCTGGTTCAGAATACCGAGTTTTGGGATTTTATTTCATCTAATTTAGGGAAGCGCTGTGGGCATTTTTTTAAGAGCTCAATTTTCAGTAATGTGAGCCTAAAGATTTATAAAATAGATTTATATTAAATTATGTTAATAGAAGCCTAGTAAATGCACCAATTAATTGCATGGAAAAAAATGTTCCCTTTTAAAAGGTCTGTCACCTTAACAGGTACATTCAAAGATTCCCTGTGAATAATGAAAATAGGAACAATTGATTTGATGCACTGAGCCGCATTCATCGTCTAGGACAGCTTTCGGCTGTGTTTGGAGAAGATGGGAGGAGCTCCTTTTAAAGGAGTGATTGCTCCTTTAAACCCAATTTCCTCCAGCAAATAGGTTCTGTTGAAAGTGTCATTCTCCCCTCTAACATCCTGAAGTCTGGGCTTGAGCTCCTGCCCCCACAGCTCTCCTCCTTCTCTCCCAGCCTTGTCTTTTCCTTATCCCAACCCACTCTCAGTATCTTTAAATCTCCCTTAAGAAATCTTTTTGGGAGTATCTTGCTAAGAGAGTGGAACCTTCAACAAGGAGGAAGCAAAAAGAGGGAAGGAGGATGGTGAAAATTACTCTTCTACTTGACCATCACCAATTGTTGTGTGTCCTCTCTCTCTCTCTCTCTCTCTCTCTCTCTCTCTCTCTCTCTCTCTCTCTCTCTCTCACACACACACACACACACACACACACACACAAACACATTCATATACACCCATGCGTGATACACACAGACACTACACACACCAGACACCATTGCCCCTTGTGACCATTTTTTCTTAGATCAACCACCTTTCTGGCAATTGTCTGACCATAATTAAAGTGATCCAAGAAAACTGAACAATTCTGAGCACAGTTAGCAGACCTGAACTAGTGGGGAGCAGAGGTGAGAAGTGGAAAAAGGACACCAGAAATTGAAGACTTCACATCACCAAATGTTTGCTTCTCCTAAATGCTTGGCATACTTTGGGGGAGGTGGGGGAGATCCGAACTAGGAGCACTACTTCAAACCAGTTCAGAATAAGAACCCCAAAGGGATGGGCTCTACTGGCACCAGCGTCTCTATCACTTCAGCCCTTTAACAGAATGGTTCTTTCTGCCTTTGGCAGGGTTTACAATTGAACAGCTTTGCTTGGGGCCACTATCCATGTCAGGTCCTTGGCCTTGGGCGTTTGTTGATCACTGAGTGGGAGGGTGAGGGGAAAGGTCTTGGCCCCTCCTCTCTGCTCTGAATGTCTGGGCTAAAGCAGGGCACTTGGGGTGAGAGGTCATCCTTCCTGCCCTCCACCCACCCTCAGCTCTTTTCCTTTTTAAAACTGTCAACTGGGGACTTGTTTTCAGAAGTGGACTCAACCACATTAATGGTTCCTGCTGCCCATCGTTTTTCTCTTAGTGAAGCAAGTTCCTGGTTTCTAATTCTCATTTTCATTTTTTTCTCTCTTCCCTTTATGTATAAGTCTAGAAGAGGTCACATCTTGGGTGAAGAGTGTTGTTTCTGTTTCTCAAGTGCGGGCATAGGGAAAGCTAGAATCCAGGGCTTCCTTCCTGGGTAGACACTGTTCCGGGTGGCCCCATACAGCTAAGCCTTATTCTCTAATAGATGTAGGGAAACATCGCTTGGGGCATTTGTGTAAGAGTTTGTATCTGAATGCTGACTTGTGTTCTTAGCCTAACGTCAAAGAATAGACTTTTAAAATCAGATTCCACATTCCTGAAGACTTATTCCTGTTTGAAAACTTTGAAAACATCAACTGAGTGTTTTGGAGGGTAGGAGGATGTAAAAATATATCCTAATAGAGTAGAAGATTCCATGCTCCATTCCAAAAGTGACAAAAAGGTATACACCACATTGGATGTTCTCCCTGAGCATCCTGGAGAACTTCTTTATTCAGAGAATATCCAACGTGGAGTTGGGTGAGTTTGCCTGAATCTTTTTGCTTCTGGAGAGGGATATTTTGTTTGTTTCCCCTTCCCTAGGGAATTTATCCTAAAATCGGAACCAGAGGGGCTGCGGTCATCCCAGCAACACAAACTGGTGCCTCATCTCTCCTTGGCCCGACAGCAGAGCAGGATGCTCCGTGCTTCTGCGGGTGTAGCAAGTGCGTGGCCCCGCGCTCTGGGCACAGGGCCTGGGTAGCAGAGCCTGGCGAGTCGCAGAGGCAAGGGTCCGAACTTGTCACGGACTTGAAGGAGCGCCAGACCCGAACGTGGGGTTACAGAGGGGCTGACCTGCGTGTGCGTGGGAAGGGGACTTGGGGGTCTATCCCCAGCCCAGATGAAGCTTCGCTTCGGGCTGGAGCGCGGAGAGCGGCCGCGGGAATTCTTTGTCCTTCCCGTTATTTCCTGCGAAGGAATTACTCTCTTTAAACGCCTGTTCTTTGCGCCTACAACTCCCTTCCTCCCTCCTCTTTGCTCGCTCGCGGAGAGGCCTGTTTCTTGGGAAGAAGGAAGACACGATCTTTAGCAAGTCAACCGGCCAGCGCCTCCTCCCTGTGGCGGCGGGCAGGGCCAGGGGCCAGCTCTGCGTGCAAAAGACTGAAGGACAGGGATCCAGAGACCCAGAGCCTCCCGGGCTCTGGGCGGAGGAAGCCGGCTGCCTGGGACCGTGGCGCAGGCTAGGCCCAGCTCGCTGCACAAAGCCGCCCGCGGCTCCTTAGTCGGCAGGAAGGGCACTGCTGTCCGTCCCCCCTCCCTCCTGCATGCCCGGCCAGGGCCGCAATGGGAGTCTGAAAACGGGATTTTCCTTCCCCTGAGCTTACTGTGGTGGTAGTGGAGGCGGGGCGAACACACTCAAGGAAACAGTGAGTGGTCGCCTTATCCCTTCCTCCTCCTCCCTTAAGTCCACAGCTTTAGAGTCCTAGAAGCTCCTGGTGAGATTTCAATAGGACCTGCCTAAAGTAAATCAGACCTAAAGAAGGTGTGTGTGTGTGTGTGTGTGTGTGTGTGTGTGTGTGTGTGTGTGTGTGTTAAACAGTTCCTGTGACTTGAACCTATTGGGTGGCATCTTTATAGAAAACGACCAGAAATCACACTAATGGGTGTTAGTGGGACTGAGACCCTCTAGTTTGCATCTCCCATCTTCTTCACTTCCTCAGCTACAGACCCAGGCTGCACTGAGGAGAGACCAGGTTGCCTGCTGAAGGAAGAATTGAACACTCAGTGTTCTGGCCGGTTGGAATGAACTCTTCCAGCCACGGGAAAAGAGGAACTAGAAAAGAGCTGGATTGGGTTAAAGTTGGAGACCAGGGACAACAAGAAGTGCCCCACCCCCGCAAGTGTCCAAAGACATTTCTGGGCTGTGCTTTTCTCTCTTTTTATTTATTTGCTTTCTGCTTCTCTTTATTTCCAGGCTGTTTTGGAAATGTGTGATTGTAAATCTTTACACAGAATACTTCCCTGTCCCTGACTTATTGTTTACTCAGCATTGAGAGGAAGCAGCTTATTTCTGAGTTAGACAGACAACCAAGAGCATTAACTTTTCTAATCACTTGTAGCATCATTTGTAAGTTTCTGTTTGTTCACTTCAGACTTGTTTGATAAATTCTTACTTTTTCAAAAAGTATCTTGAAAAAGATAACTATCTTGACTATGCGAATACCTTCACATAATTCAGGTTTTAATTGTGAGAGAGATAAAATAGACAGGCAGTGGGGTAAAGGGTGGTGTGAAATACACACTAGGTAGGGAATATCTTACTTGTCCTTGCAAAGTAAAAGGTTTATCTGTCAGTCATTGTCAATGTCACTCTAAATGGAGTGATTTTTTTTTCCTGACAACTGTGAAGATATCACCTACTTTGAGGATGGGGGTACCATCTGGTAGGTGGCATCAAAACTAAAGGTGTCTTCTTGGGGCAGAAAGTTCTGTTACACAGAAAACCTCTAAAGCCACATACTCCCTTAAGCCAAGAGACCTACATTATCAAGTTTCAGTTAACATTTTTCTCTAAGACTTCAAATAGGCTTTTTTCTTTTCCTGTACATGCCTTTCTGTAGACTTGAGGGGAGAAGTGGGTAGGAGAAGATGGGGAGAGCACACATCACAAATTTAAAAACCCTGATTCTGTTTCATTTATTTAAATAAATATAAATATAAATTTTATATAAAACTATTCACATATGAAGGGACTTCCAGCAACATGGATTGGAAACTCTCCCCAGGCAAATTTTCAGAAAGCAAGACCTACAGGGTTTAATTTCTAAGTTATTGGTAACCTCATTGATTTCAGTTTAAAATAACAACAAAAATAATGAAGAAACCTGTGTTCTTATCAGGTTCTGAAAAACAGGGACATAGAAATGACATGCACTTTCAAAAAACCCTTTACAGTAGTAAACCAACCCTGTTTTTCTTCTGTTATATAATAAGACTGAGTTGAATTCTAGATTATTTACATTGTTTTAATAAATGATCTATAAACAGGTCAAGAAGGAGATGCGAAGGGTCAGGCCCAGCTTTGAACTCCCATGACTTAGCCTCTAGTTCCTTCTCCAGATGGGACGAGGGCGATGGGCGAGAGTTTTGGCCCCGGGATGCCCTAGGTGTTAGCTACGGGAGCAGCTGGTGTGCGCGGGGCAGGGTTGGGGAGACCCCCTCATAAAGGGGAAATCTCCTTGTCTTCATTAGCGGAGGCTGGGGACAAGGAGTCCTCGTCCTCCGAACGCGCGTAATGAGCTTGGCTACCGACGCACTTGCAGCCCGCGTGACTGTTCCTCTGGGAGCCCTTCCCCTCCTTCTTGTGCTTCACCCGGCGGTTCTGAAACCAGATTTTCACCTGCTTCTCCGACAGGTTCAGGTACGTAGCGATTTCGATCCTCCGGAGTCGAGACAGGTACATGTTGGAAGAGAATTCCCGCTCCAGCTCCAGGAGCTGAGTGCTGGTAAACGCCGTTCTCATCCTCTTGCCATTGGGTACCTGGCTGGTGTCGGAGCCTCCTGCGGACCAGCCAAGAGAGGGCAAAGAGGTAAGGCTCGGGAGAGGTGCTCCCACCCTACGTGCCATCCCTTGGAAAGGACGCCTCTCAAGGACCCACCCCCAACACCTGCTTTGATCCTTCACTCTTTCCCATTTCGTGGCACGTCGTTATTTATTGGAGGAGGAAAGATACGCCCAAAGCCAGTCAAGATCTTTGATGCGTAGGACACAAAGTTAGAGGATTAAAGGGGGTGGGAGCTTGCACTTGTCTGACTGTCTCCTTTGGAGCCTAGTAGAGAGGGGCGCAGGCACAGCCAAAAGCACTGAAATACTTTATCTAGCCGGGACACGGGATGCCATACTTCAGTTCAACACACCCACACACTCACCCCAAACTTCTGCCAATTAACCTCTGCATTCTCCGCAGATATGTGGAGAGTTTGGCAAGCTAACTTGCACCTTTGTGGAACTTCTGGGGATGCCCCACAGTTACACCAAAAGCCCCTCCTCCCTCCCCTTCTCCGGTCTCTCTTCCTCCAGTGGTGGAGGAAAGTTTACTACTGGGAGCACTAAAGGCGCGGCGCACAGGTACCCAGAGACCCCGCCCTACCCATGGTGAGGCAGTGGAATCTCCGCGGATCCGCCACGTTGTAGGTGGTGGCAGCACAGACAGGTGCGTGATGCTGTGGGTGCCCCAAAGCGGCTGCGG